GGCAATCAAAACACGTGCTTTTTTTTTACACATGTTCCAGATTTCAGAACAAAAGAGAAAAGTACAGAAAGTGAAAGAAGTATGAACTACGAACAGGAATTTACATGTCCTACTCAAATTTTTAATAACACTTAATACATAAGTTAGGCAAAAATAAGGTTTGCCGCCCATTACATACAAATACTACATTAAATATTTTTTTTACCCTAGCAATACTAAACTAGACTTAATTATGAGTTTGATATATTTATTTATGTAAAGTTAACAATTAATTAGATTTGTAGACAAGCAAACCACTATTAATTTAAATAAAACAAAACAATGTACTGAGTCTTATTTTTTATTATAGTTTTATTTATATTTATTTATATTAATTTTATAATAGTAGGTACTAAAATTAACGTTAATTGACGTCCTAGGCGTGGGCTTATGTCGCCTAATCCTTGAGCCGGAACTGAGAACTTATTTAATTATACTTAGTAATTAGAATACTTGTCTATGTATTTAATTTTTCGGTATATTTCTACTTTACGGGACACTTTATTTTTTGGACTTATGTAGTTAAATACGCTGAAAATGATGGTGAAGTTAGAATTTGGCGCTCGGACATAAGTATGAAGTTATTGCACTTCAAAGTTACTATATATTACATTAAGTAACTTAGAACATACATTGTATTCAGTTGCGATGCTGTAGTCCAGTGGCAATATAACTATTTCTGGTCAGTATATGCACAAGTTCAAATCCAATCGTGAAAACTTTTTTGAATTTTTTTTTTAATGTACATTATTATAAAAATAATATTATATTTACTCGCGCAGCGAGGTTTTAGGTTCACATACAAATCATAATCCCATCCGCAACATTATCAAGGTTTGTACAAAAACTAGGTTAGGCTTAGACTATAATTCCTCTTGGGGCGAAGCCCCATCCCCCCGAAAAGTGCCACATAGTGGCACTTGAGTTTGTGAGTGGAGCTGGCAGGCGTAATGAGCGAAGTCCTAAAATTTTTAAAATTACAGTTCCAACTTTTCGAAAAAAAATGCAAACAATTTTCATTAAGGTAACAGATCAAAACCAGATACAAAATTATCGTTAAAAAAAAAAAAGTGTATAAATTTATTTACCTGTACGGGGGATCGAATTCGGTTCCGTAGATAAATAATCAATGCTGCTACCATTACCAATATTACTATTGAGCAACACTTTAAAATGTTCGTAGATGCCTAAGGAGTATTTAATAGTTTTAGTGTAAAGTTATAAACTAACTATAACTTCAAAACTAAGTTCTTGCGCCAAATTCCAATTTCACCATTATTTTTTTCACCCAAAATAGGACTAAGTCCCTCAAAAAAATTGCCAAATTTTTGGGTAAACTAAAAATGTTCCAATTTTTCCATTTTGTTCTTAATTTTTAGTTGAGTAATGTTATTTCGTATAATGCTAAAATTAATTATAATAATAATTCATATTTAAAAATACAGAATTTGTCATATAAAAAATTACAATACGAAAAAAAAAAGTTATGTTATGATGTTTATTCTTGTACTCTCAAATGTGCATTATTTTAATGTGATATAGATATTGGAAGAGTAAGAACAGAGTAAGTAAACAGAGGATTAATAAGCATAATGAATAATATTTATAATATAACGAAAACCATCCACTATGTTCTTAAAAAGACTTTAAAAATAAGCAATAATTAAATCTTTAAGCATTATAAAGATGTGATATTATGAATACATTTTATTATTTAATTGTTATTATATTATGATTTCATTATTATTTAATAAAATTTTTTAACTATAAAATTAAATAAAATTTTAAAATAACAATTAAAAGAATTTCATTATTTATTATAATTGATACTAGAATGACATTTTTAATTGCTAAATAGTTAGTTTATTTTTTGCACTTGATTATAATATCAATAATAATTATTACAACAGAGATTATTTTATCAGGGACAAATGGAATTTAACATTATAACCAGTGGCGTAACCAGAACTTTTAATGCCTGTGGCAAAATAATCCAATCGGGCCCTTAGTTTTAAAAATTTGGAAGAACGAGATATGAGGAATATCCTTCAAAAACTAACCACCTATACAATTCTACCCTTTAAGGCTACAAACAATAAAAAACATGTTTAGTGTAATATTATTTTTATAGTAAAATTTTACTAAACATTTTTTGGTTTAAAAAATATATACAAAGCAATACAAAATTTAAATATTCAAAATTTCTTACTTTTGCTTCGGCAAACATATCGATTAAATCTTCAAAGTCAACTTCTCGGGCTGTTTCTTATTCGATTGAAATTAATGCTAGGCCACTTAAACGATCTTGTATCATTTTACTCTTTAAATATCTTTTAATAATTTTTAGTTTCCAAAATGACCGTTCCGCGCTTGCACATGTAACAGGAATTGTCAAAAATAATAAAAGAGTAGTACATACTTCTAGGAAACTGGCTGTTAAAGAATGATTTTTCACCATTAAAAGTTGAGCAAGATTTCAATTTTCAATTTCACTTGTAAATGTTTTTGATATGCCTTTATCATATTTGTTTACCAACTTTGTAGCTTCATTTAAAAGCTCTAAAGCTGTTGCTGATGTGAGAAAAGATGGTTGTAAACATGTGAAATTTAGCATTAATTCATGAAAACTTGAAAAACGTTTACTTATTTGATTTATTAATATATCCAACGTTCTATTAAAAATAGTTACACGAAATAAGCTTTCTGGACAAGTTAAACGCATATCAGTACATAGTTCATCGAAATATCTTTTTACTACTTTACGACGTTTGTTTTGAAACTCTGTAGAGATAGACCAACTTTTAGCAACTATACTTGCTTCTTCCAAGAGATCATTAAAATTACATCTATATTCTTTTAATTGTTCATAACAATTTTTTTAATAAATTAGATGCATTATCTAAATCAAATGACTTTGACTGGAATATTTTAGAAGTTAGGTTTATAATTTGTAAAATTTTACATTGAAAAACTAAAGTGCAAATAAAATTATGATTTTCAATTTGTTTTTTAATCCCATTTGCTTCATTTCGCTCATCTAACTTAGAGTTGCAAAGTATAACTTTTGTTAAAGCTTTTTGAATTTCAACAAATCTAATTTTAAGCGCAAAAACTGATTCATAACGACTAGCCCAAACGACACGTCATTGACTAATAACAAAATAAAATATAAATTAAAAGAACATCAATTAACAACGACAGTCACTTTTTCCTAGAATAGTTCTAATCTGATCTAGTATCTAAATATAAATGTTATGTTCGATTTCAAAGACAAGCGATTGCGATACGCTTCATTGTTATTTCCATTTTACAAATAACAATATCATTAAATGTATAATAATATTAATATCAACAATGTCGACGGACTGGTAAATAAAATAATTTATAAACATAATCGTGATCAGTTATTAAATTTATTTTATTTTACAAAAATATACATATATTTTTAAACAGAATCGTATTTATAAATTTCACTATTATGATGATTTATTTTTGAATGTACTATTTTTTTCTTGAAGGGCCCTCTAGAGTCGTGGGCCCGTGGCCTATTGCCCGTCATGCCACCCTATCGTTACGCCACTGATTATAACAGGCTCGCGTATACGCAGCGTCACCACGGTTCAATAATGATTTTAGACGCTTGTACATTGGCGGGTCTGTCTATACGCAGTCGATTAGACCAACATCATCGTTATCAAAAATAAAATTGTTATCATAAATATAATTTTATCATCAATTATAAATTTATAATAAATTAATTACATTATTTTATTTGTTACATTGTAATATTAAGATATACCATCTTCACTCTTTACATGAAATGTATGTTCTAATTCTAACTTTTTTATTTTGTTCTGAGAATATATATTTTGAGCAGTAGTAAGTGTATTATAAATGTGCTTGACTAGTGTCACAACTACAATTTTTGGGTCCCAGGGCGACTGAGATTTATTGCCTCAATTTTTTAGCATGTCAGACATTTGTTAATGGTTTCATTTTCCGACCCTTTTTCATCTAGTAATTCAAATATATGTACATCAATATGTATATTAAAGCATATTTTAAAATTCACAAAGCACACCAATAAATAAGAATTCAAAATTTTAGAATGAAAACCCAATTTAATTACAACAAACACATAGAGGTTAACCAAAATTGTTATGCAATGTACATCCTCCAAACCAATCAATAAAATAAACAAAACTTAATAAGTTAATTTTTTATCATTTTTAAAAATTGAAAGTTTAAACAATTACTTAAATTAGTTGAAACAAATAGGAAAAAATGTATACTTAAACTAGTGAAAATGTATGCTAAATGAATTGTAATGTATTGTTTAGGCACCTATATTACATTTTAAATTCTTTATAGTACTACTGTAACCTCAACTATTAATTTTAATTGCAGGCCGCATCAATGTTCCTATACCTACCTATTCTTATATTAAAAGATTAAATTAAAAGCACGTCTAAATTATAAATAAATAAATACAGGGAAAACAATAAATATTGAGAACAACTTGACTGCCTACATTATTTAACAATATAATTTTGAATTTATATCTTAATATTACATTGTTACAAATAAAATAATGTAATAATTCATTTATTATAAATTTGTAATTGATGATAAAATTATAATTATGATAACAATTTTACTTTTGATAAAAACAAAATGATAACGACGGTGTTGGTCTAATCGAGTGCGTATAGACCAGGGATGGCAAACCTTATGAATACTGCGTGCCCAAAATTACTTTTTTTTTTTTATAGAGCGTGCCATGAAAAAATTTAAAAAATACTATAAATATTATATTTTGTTATATTATAATTTGATTGTATAATTAATGTATTAGTATAAAAATGTTAGTTTAAGTACATATTAATAATATATAATAAATAATAATAATTATAATAATATTGCTTTGTTAATTATTTATATTATATTATAGGTCCTATAATATTATATATTATATAATATATAATAGTAAGACTTCGCGTGCCCACAAAATCTTTTCGCGTGCCATAGATTTGCCATCACTGGTATAGACAGACCCATATATTATTTTCCTAATCAAGTTATTATCAACTGCGTGTCCGAGTTGATAGCGGGTTTTAAGCACATGCCATTCAGACCAAAGAAACGTTCGCTTCTCTCCTCATTTCTCTTCTGCATACTCGCAAGATATCGGCGACCGCTGCTCGTTACCGTTCAACGGAGTTCTTTGAAGCGATAGTTCCATTTGTAATTGATAAAATCTGATGGATGACACTGTCAAAATGGATTACGCGCCAACCACGGTGTCAGCAACAGTTGCTAAAATGTACGTATTGGTATTCCTTCTCATTTCTATCGATCTTGACGACAACAGCAGTCAGCATAGTTTGCGCATTCATGTGCGGTCTTTAATAGCGTATGCATTTTGGTATCTTAGACTATGTTGCCAGTGCGGTGTGACTATGGAACCGAATCCGGCCAACATGTGTGTGTCGTGTCTTCGTACTCATGTAGATATCACACAAGACATACCCAAGCAAGGGACATTGCAATTTTGTCGTAACTGTGAACGATATTTACAACCGCCATTTGAGTGGATATCATGTGCCCTTGAATCTAAAGAACTGTTGGGTCTTTGCTTACGTAAGCTAAAAGCTTTAAATAAAGTGAAACTTGTTGATGCTGGATTTATTTGGACCGAACCTCATTCCAAACGTATTAAGGTTACATTAGTCAATAGTAGTAAGGAAACACCAATCATTACATTTAAGTTGAATTTTAGGTAAAGCTTACCGTACATGGTGAAGTTATGAGTGGCATGACATTGCAGCAAGTATTTATAGTTGAATTTACTGTTGCCAATCAAATGTGTGATGATTGTCATCGGTCTGAAGCTCAAGATTTTTGGCGTGCCTTAGTAAGTATATAAGAATGTCTGAAAAAAAAAAAAATTTAAAAAATATTGAGAAATTGGAATATATTTGAGATATTGAAGTGAGAACATTTTTTCTCTTCTCATGTTTTTTTTATGTTAAATTAATTTGTTTGAAGTTTCAAATTTATTTATTTTTATAGGTTCAAGTTAGACAGAAGTCTGATAATAAGAAAACATTTTATTACTTAGAACAGTTAATGTTAAAACACAAAGCACATCAAAATACATTGTCTATAAAGCCAGAATCAAGTATAAATTATTAAGTCAATGTTTTTTTTAAATATTGTAGTATTAATGAGTATTAATGTTTTTTTTTTTTTTAGATGGCTTGGATTTTTATTATTCCACTGAATCACAAGCTCGTAAGCTTGTAGATTTTATGTCTGCTGTATTACCATGTAGATATCAGCAGTCTAAAAAGCTTTTGTCTCATGATATTCATAGTAATGTTTATAATTACAAATTTACATACAGGTAATTTCAGATAATTTATAATGTTTTTATTATTTATGTTCCTAGTAATAATTCAATTTGGATTGCATTTTTGACAATTTATTTTTGTTTATTCATCTTCCTAGATGTCTCTCATATTCTAATATTTTCTTAATTGTAATTAAATGAACTTTTATTAAATTTATTCAAATTTGTTTATTGATTATAAAAATAAAATATGTAAATATTTTGATATTAAAAAATATGCTGTCTCCATTTTTATATTTGTATTGTAGTTTCATTGCATTTATTATATTACTCTTTAAGACTCTTATAAGTTGATTACAATTAATTATTGGATTATTGGTATTTTTCAGTGTAGAAATTGTACCTATTATGAAGGATAGTGTTGTTTGCTTGTCTAAAAAAGTGAGTCAGCAACTAGGAGGAATCAGTCCTTTATGTATTGTATATAGGGTTACAAACTCCATCAAATTGATTGATCCTTCAACTGCACAATGTACTTATTAATCTTTCATCTACCTGTTGAATTAAATTAATTAATGTTTTTATATATTTTAGTGGCAGAAGTAAATGGTGCATCATATTGGAGAGATAGTTTTCAGAGTATATTTAAAAGTAAACAATTAACAGAATATACTGTAATGGATATTGAGCCAATTATGGAAAAAGATAGAGTACAATTTCCAGGACAAGGCCAAATTTCATACAAAGTATGTGAAATTAAACTCATAGTTAATAAAATATACAGTCGATTCCGTCTAATATGGGAAAAATGTTCTGGTCCCAAATCTAATGTATATCTAGCAAGGTAAAAAAACTGTAAAATATGGGCAGTTAATCCGGTTTATGTTCGCAATATTTATATTATATAGCATTATAATATGTAACTAATACAATTGGGTTTCGTTGTATTTATGAGATTTTGTTGTGAGCTTAATTGAATGTAGTGTTACTTAGAGCAATATTAAAAAAAAAAAAAATTAAAAATTAAGCCATAAAATTGTAGTTTTCTTTCCTTAACCTGACAACAATCATTTCAATTTTACCTAGAATTTCAATGTGAATGCGAAAGTTTTCGACTATATCTCAAAAAGATCTTTTCATTAAAGACAATATCATAATTTGGATAAAGTGAAGTCTCTTCCTTCAAGCACTTAACAATGTAATATTGCTGAAAAATGATGCATTCCAAATTATATTATTCATTACTATTTTGAATATTTATTTATCTATTCATTTAATTGAAAATTTTTTCCAATTTTATGGCTTACATATGTAAAATAAAAACTTTTCGATATTAAAAATGTTGGTCTTTTTGAACTAAATTTGGTTTATATGGCCATCCACTTAATGTAGGCACTTGGGATTGGTTCCAACATGTTCATATTAAGGAAATCCACTGTATACACATAACATTACACATAACACGGTGTGTTAACCCTAAAGGTATCATTAAATATTTAATGAAACATTTAATGATCTTGCATTGAAATGGGGTTTTCTAGGAAGGAAAGAGAGTATCAAAATACACAATTTCAACCAAATTTAAAATTTTTGACCAGGACTATATATGAATGTGCAGTACAACATACTATTTTTAAATTGTAACACCATATTTTTTCTACATATCCGAGTACAGTATTTTTTTAAAATAATTGTTGTATACAAAGTTTTTTTTTCTAATTACAAAATTGGCAAAATTTTAGTATGTTGAAGTTTAATATTTATGAAAAATCTGGTATTGATGAAATTTTAATTATGTTTAATTGGGTTTAATTTTTGGCTATGTGGACCCACCTATTTATATAAAATATTTAAAAAACAAAATTCAATTGACATTTAATATGAAAGAAGACCAAATAAATGCTGCCATATTAAAATAATTTTAAAATTTTGGAATCTTGATAGAAACATCAAAATGGATGTTCGATCAAAGCTTAATTTAAAATTTATAGGTAGTGAGGTGTATTATAGGTATATTTTTGTAATTTTCATTATCATCAATATTTTATTATTTTATTTCAGTAGTATGAATGACAAAAATTAGAGTAAACTACAATAAAAAAAACCTGTTTTTTTATATCTTATATATCAAAGATATATTTAACAAAATTGGAGATTTTATTTTGATTTTCAAGTATTAAGTTGAACATAATTGTCTTGTAAACACTACCAGTAAGAGAGCTGTAAATCACTTATAGTTAGGCTTAAGGACTTGTAGCTCTTATAAATACCCAAATATGTACCAAAAAATGACCAAATATGCTCTAAAATATGCATCTAAAAATAACCGTATATGCGCTAAGATATGCTCAAAAAAAATAAGTATAATAAATATGTGGTCAAATTAAATATTTATTTTATTAGAATTTATATTATAACGAACACTGAACAAGTATTCTAAATTATTTAATAAAATAATATCTATTATTGGATATTGCTTATTTGATCTCTATAAACATTCGATACGGGTTTAAAAGATTATTTATACCTACTGTTATGGACATACATACATGTAGGTCTTTACGATTCTTACAGATATATATATAATGTAGGTCATCACAGGGGAGCATCACATAATACAGCATATATTACATACAGGTGTGAATAACATGAGGGTGCGTCGTCTTTTAAGAAATACCAGAACCAGTTAAGAAATGGAATGTAAGAAAGTAGTTATAGTCAACGAGGCCAACGGGGGATTAGTTTAACGTAAAACCAGGACCGAGCCGAGACATTTTCAATCGATTAGGCTAACTTGCCGATGAGGGAAATATTTTAAGTACGCAAACTAGGTCCAGGTCGATATACTGAATTAACGGGGTATATGTAAGAATCCAAGTGGACGAGGCCCGCCTGTCGGATTACTCAGACCAGGTCCGAGTCGGGAGATTAAGGTCACAATGCCATACAGATGGATTCCCACAGAACCATAGTATATAAAGGGGTTGGGAATAGGCCATTATTCAGAGGTGTTTTAGTCCAGTCCGAGCAAGCACCTTCACGCCAGTTTTAAATGTCAAATCTTATACTTAGAATAATTTCAATACATAAAGTTTTTTGGACTCAGAATAATTCGTTAATGAACAGTAAAAAATATATATATAATAATATTCAAAGTCTTTAAATTATTAAATAACATATCCTCAAACATCTACTCTTCACGGTTGACTTGACGGCACGTAATACTACACAAAAATTATAAGTGGTAGTTTGTAGATAGCATATATATTTTTTTTCGATCGGTTCAAATATGTATATGTATATGTATATATATATATATACCATATATGTATCTATAGTTTTAAGTTTAAAAATTGAAAAATTGTCAAAATATGCAAAATAATTTTAAAATAAGCATATTCTTGCTATATTTATTAAATATGCAAAAATATGCACACTCAAATTTTAGATCTGATATCATGGCAATGAGAAATGAATTTATTTCACATTCTGCTATTTTTGTACAATAATTAACAAAAGTATGCAAATGCTATAAGTACCTAAGCTTATTCATAATCATTATTTATTTATCTATTCTTATCAGAACTGTACCAAGCCATTTTTTATCCTGAGGCAGAACTGAAGCAATGCCTCCTAGGTTGTAGGGTTGTCACACTCGCAGCTTTTAATATGTATAATACGATTTGGAAAAATCTGAAAAATTGTAATTTGGTTTCTAGAAAAACAAGAAATAATATTTCCTAAAATAAGTTAATTATTTTATATTATCGCTCACCTGACCCCAGTTAGTGCTCTGATTCTTATAATTGTTTTACAAATTAATTTATCCTTGAAATGTAAAAATAATATTCAATACTTAACATTGATTTTTTCTGCTTATATTTTTTAAAAATCAAGAAATAATATTTTGTTTTTAGTATTGTTTTAAATGTCAAATTATATATTATTATAGCTTTTTAGATTTATTGTAAGTTCTGATAAAATTTTTTAATATATTACATTTTTTATATTAAAATAAAAATGTATTAATAACAAATTTTGTTGTTTGTTGTGTAGCACATGTTAGCTGATGTATGGGTAGTTAGATCCTGTGACTTAGGATTGACAACAGATTCTATTCATTGTCGAACACACTTAGGACATGTCCTCAAGCCAATGGACACTGTATTAGGTTATGCTATTGCAGATAGTAATGTTAATGATAGTAATTTTGATAAGTTGTCTAAAACTTCATTACCTGATGTTATACTTATCAAGAAAAATTATCCTGATCGTTCAAGGCATCGCAGACGTAACTGGAAATTAAAACGAATGACCACAGATACAGACAACAACTTAGAAAGCGATAATAAGTTAGTATTTTTATTAATAATATATTTATATTTTCAAATTGTATTAATATTTATGTCTGTTTAGTGATATGGATGAATTTATGGATGATTTAGAAGAAGACAAAGATTTGCGACAAAATATTAATATTTATAAAAATCCAGATGCTGACAATGAGTCTGTTATAGAAGATGATGATGATGCACCAAAAATCAGTCTTGAGGAAATGATGGAAGATTTGTATATTTATGAAGATGATGTAATGGAAGTGTATGAGTAAAAGATTTTGTTATTTCTGGTTGTAAGAATTTACAATGTATAATTGAGGTTTACATTTTGTTTTTATTCAGTAAATTTGAATGTCATAAATAATATTAATTAATAAATTGAATTTAATTTTCAATATTTACTTTAGTTTTAATAAATAATATTTAATATTAATATATTATTTGGTTATTGGAGTACAAGTTACATTATATTTGTTCTGTTTTTTTTAAACAATTATTGGAATTTACTATTCAAATTATATTAGATGATGCATCAAAGCATTAGGTACTAAGAACCACCACTATAATTAATATTTTTATTTATTTAGTATAGTATTAAAGTTATTTTGAAGTTCTAGTACTAGAAATGAAAATCTAACGTGGATTTAGCCTTTGAATTTAGTAAAATTGACCAAAATGAGGCTAATGAAGGGAATCACCATAAAAGTTTATTGGGAAATTTAATTATAAAAATGCTGGTAATATTGTCTGATATTATCTTAATATTCAAGTTAGAAATGCATCAATTATTTAATTATGGGTTTGATAAAGGTGTCCTATACCTAACTGGCTTTTATAATCCTGGTAGTTCATAAGACTATTTTTCAACAACTAATTTTAAATAAATAAGCCTCAAATCAGTACTCCTTAGCCCATAACTTGACAAGACATAGATAATGGTTATTACTAAGGCTCAGAATTGCATATTTTTTCCAATGTTGGTACTCAAAGCTTGTCTTTATAAAAATTTAATTAATATCATACAGAATTTAAAAGTATACATTTTATTTTGTATTTTGTGCATTGTATACATTTGCATATATTCTACTTTTGAAGGTAAAAATTAAATTTTTTTTTGTTATAAGTCTAATCTATGAATATATAATATATTAAAATCAGCAGAAATGTAGAATGGAAATATAAGATATTTTCAACCTTTGATATGTCTTGTCTCTTTGGTACTATCTCAGTATTATTTTAATTTGTGCCAGGCTGTGAAATGTGAGTGCATTTCTTTATGTGTTCTGATGTTCAATATATTTTTAATTTGAATTGTTTTGAAAAAATTCCTAAATTATAGACTTTACATATCTTAGTTCAATAAAATGTTAATTTTATATAATTTTTTGATGTAATTGAGTTATTTTAACACTCTTGAGTATATTTTTTAACAATTTTTACAAGATCGAATTCTGTTTAATTTGTTTTGACATTAGTGTAACAAAATTAGTAATCAGTTATTACGTTTATAAACCTAGTTGGTAAATTAATTTATATAAATCAATACCATTACATCACTATTATTCAATACTACTATACCTACTCAATCTACATTCTTCATTAATTTTGAACAGTGATTTTTGGGAAAATATTGCAAAAGTTTACTATCAAATATTTATTAATATGTATTAATTTACAATTTTCATAAATTAATAATTAATAATAATAAATTAATTGTAATCACTATAAAGATATTGATCGATTATCATTTAACTTTGTAGTTTTATATTGTTTAACATTAATCAACCATTGAGACTGATTCAAAGATTCATATTCTATTAGTGTTTTTCTAAAAACAATGTACCAAATAAATCCAATGACCATATTTAAAACAATTATTGTATAGTAGCCATCAATGTATACTTCACAATTTCCTTCAATCGTTTTGCATAACTAGAAAAAAAGAAAATGATTTATTATTATTATATTTATCATCAAAAATATAATGTATTACATTCATAACAAATAAAAAAAAATTGACAACTACCTTAATTAATTATTACTTACTTCTATAGTCCATATTTATATGTTTTTTTTTATATATTATTTTGGGTTAATTTTAGTATTAAAACTCGAAAAAAATATTGTTTGAATAATTTTTATTAAAAAAAGAACGTATAAAAGTACTATTAAGTCTCCATTATAAAACATGGTAGCTTACTTACAATTCTGGCAAATAATTAAATAATTAAGGAATATTGTTAGATATTAAATAATAATAAAAAATTGCATTTTAAAGCATTTAATTATTGTTAATTTCATTAATTTATGTTCATTGATTATTTTTTACATGTTTTTATGGTTTTTAATAGAATATAAGAATATTTGTAGGTTTTTAGAATATTACTATCAGATATTAAGCATTTTAATAGAATATATATCTGGACTATACTTATTACTTATTAGTGTTTATGAATGTCTTACGTTTTTCAAGTCTGCCGTAGAACAATTATTATTCATTTCATTTGAGCATTCGCTAAAAGTGAATATAGCAATCAGTTTCAAAACTACAGTATTTGAAACCAGATATCCCAAAAAATATAAAGTGTTGAATAATGTCATATATGTACCACCAAAACGGGGATCACTTATTCGACAAAACAATGAGAACACAAGTAACATCATTAAGACACTCATAATCTAGAAACATAGAAAATTGTTTTTAAACTATTTATTTGTAAAAATATTCAAAAATATATTCTAAATATACATAAATATAGGATTAAATGAAACATTTGATTTATGTATTCATAAACGTATTTAAAAATCTGCTAACACCTTAATATATAAATCAAAGAAGGTATATGATTTAAACAAAAAAAACATTGATATTATGTTCATTATCAGACAGTTTTTGAAATGTAAAAACAATTATATAAATACAATTGTTATATATTTGATTTTGGTCTGTTATAAGGAAGATTAATCACGGTATATTATAATAATAACCTATGTATTTTATAACTTATAAATAAGCGTCCATATAGTTGCATTAATTTCAGTATAAGTTACATCAATACATTCATTGGGATATAGCAAGGACGGCTAAACTTTTTTCGGCCACGATTTACTAAAAATATACTTCACCTTTGAAGATCGACTTTCTTGGAAAATTTTTTTATAAACTAGAATAAAAGATAAAAACTATATAGATAAAATTTATCGACAATTTGTTCATAACCATCACTATTCATTTTCGTGCACGTGGCCTAAAAATAAATTCTAACGATCGACTCTGAAATCGTCCGCGATCGACCAGTTGATCGCGTTGACCGTTTGGCCTCCCCTGGGATATAGGTAGGGTTGCCATACATTTATAAGGCGATACCGGGACAAAACAAACACATTATTTAGTAATATACATTTTATATAACTTAATATATGTATTGAGCGGAACAGTGGCGTATACATTGGGGGAGGGGATGTGGGGATCAGGTCCCTTAGGCCTTTTTTAAATGTTATAAAATTTAGTTCTTAGTGTGAGGGCGTTAGAAACGTAAAAAAAAAAAAATAATGATTTGTTTACAATTTATCCCTACCCCATACAAAAGTTATGTATACGCCACTGAAGAGGACCATTAATGGCCGGAAATATAATATTTAAAAATATTTTTGTAAAATAAAATACATTATATATTTATATGTATAAATTACAAATTATGTTTTTATTTAATATTGTCAATCGATTACAATTAAAAATGTACTTTGTGATAAAATGGTCGAAATTAAAAATTAAACAATACTACATTTCCTCTAAATGTCTAACCCGGGAGGATCGCGAATAATTCACCGTATTTACAATTCACGGTATGTACAATTTACTAGTTCCAATTCATCGTGGAAATAAATAATAACTAGTATAATTATTGTTAATTTAATTAAAAATATAAATTAGTTTATGTAAATACATTTACATACTGTTCAAAAAAAAAAAAAAAATATTAGGTACTATAAATTACTACCTATATAAATAATCAAACAATTAACTAAAAATAATGGGATATGCCCTCTTAAGTAATCTTCTGTTATTCTATTATGTTAGTTATCACGCACATTTTTTAACTTTTCAGCAAAGTCTTTGTATTTTCTTTTAACACCCATAGATTGCCTGACTATAAACTGTTTAACATGGATTTCATTTAATGATTTATTTTTTAAACGTCTCAATACACTTCCAAATACTAGGATAAATTACATTTAATGTGGATGAAAAACTATTATGCAAAACTTCGACAGAATTGTTTGATTTTGAAATGTTTTCTGCTAAATAAGAATAACAGTTCACCATCATATAAAAAATGTATATATATATATATATACGATGAATTGTGCACGTGGTGAGTTTTAAATGCGGTGAAATGTTGACGGTGAATAGTCACGCAGTGAATTAATTGCGGTGAAATGTCCGGATACCAACCCGGGACATATGGACGCTCCGAAAACATTTTTCGGGACACCGGGACACGAAGTTCAAAACCGGTAACAATCCCGGTTTTCTGGGACGTATGGCAACCCTAAATATAGGGAATGTCATAGGTAGGGTTCGAGATTTCTAGGAGTTCGCATGTTTTTAAATAATCATCAAAAACATAGCTAAGTAATATAGAAATTTGTTTCGTAGTAATACAAGTTTATATTTAAAATTTATAGTTGCATATTTTGCATATTTGATCGTTTTTTATTTATAAATGCATATTTGACAATTTTTCACTGTATAAGTGCATATTTGACAGTTATTTATATGAAGGAGTAAGTTTTTTAATTTTATAAAAAAATTATGGATTTATTTCTTCATCTATCACTCGACTTGAAATCCAAGGTGTGGCACTAACTGAATTCATTAAAATAATTAAAACTACAAAAGAAAATATACATTCTACAAAAATTAAAGGATCTACACAAGCTAAAGCAATTTATCACAAAATTAAAAAAGTTTTGGAAAAAAAGGTTGGATTTTATCAACTACAAAAAATAACGAAAATTTTAAATGGAAAAAAATTAATCTATGGACGGATTGCCTGCAGATATTAGTAGTAGTTACCTACCATTTTTTTAAATTTGCACCAATAAGTTCCGTAGACGTAGAACGTTTCTTTTCTAAATATAAAAATATTTTGGCTGATAATAGGCGGTCATTTAAATTTTCCAATTTAAGAAAATATCTTATAGTCCAATTTAATGCTCAAGGTAATTAGTACTATATTAAAAGTAGAAAAAATGTTTTAAATTTATTTATTTAATTTATTTTTAAAACAATTTTAAGTTTGTTGTTTTAGACAAAAACTCAATATAAGATGAAAACAAATTTGAAAAAAAGAAAATAATTATCTCAGATCATCATATCTATCATATCTAAAATATTATTATTATTTATTATTAATTAAATGTTTTTAATTAATTCATTATTACAAATATACATTTTTTTAAATGCATATTTTTATAGCATATTTACTGATTCTTTAGGGCATAAATGCATATATATTTTTAGGTTTTTAAGGGCATGAAGTTCTTAGCCCTAGTCATAAGACATATCGATTCTCTGAAATGTTTGGGCTACAAAATAGGGTATCAGCTACAGAAATGGAACATCAGGCTTGATTGAACAGGATGAAAAAACAATATAATGAACTTAGGATCTAGATCTCACAGAAACTTAAATAGAACATTAAGCTCCATCGAATAGTTATAAATTATAACTTATAATTATCATCAATACTTCGTGTAACAAAATCATCCAGGAATAAATATATAGTTACTTTATTTTTTATGATTAGGGTTTGGAAAGTATAGATAAATTATAAAAGTAATTATTATTAAAGTTTATGGTTGACAAACTATTATTTCTATAGGTACTAATAATATAGAAAATTGTTCGTGTACCATTTACGAGCTATAGATCAGTTGATATATACGTATCAGTTATTATTAATGTAATTTATTGTTTTTAATTGCAATTGATTTGGTTGAAATAAATAAAAATAATAATCAAAAATATTCATGATCTTATGAAGTAAAAATAAAATACTTGTCCTTTTTTTATAACTAAACTGCAGTAAAAATTGGTAGTACAAATTTAAATCTAAATTAAATTACAAGTAAATGTAAATAATACTTAAAAACTTACTTCATTTATAAAAATAATTGATCCTAATATAACATAGTAATATATTGGCACATCAATGACTTCATTTTTTCGAATTAAATTTGGTGTTAAATAAATTAATGCGGCATAAGTGATAGCCCAAAGTAATCTAAAACAATTGGTTGTATTTGATACAATATTCCATCAGATTAAAATATTATATTCAATGATTAAACTAAGATATTAATAAGTTCATAAAGTCTAAAATTTAATAAGAAAGACAATTTAGCACAGCAGTTATATAAAATTTACAATTTTTTTTTAATGATGTCTATATTTTTTTGCATTTATTTAATATTTTCTGTCTGATTAAAAATCGAATCTAAGTGATATTAAAATTTACACAAGTATATAAATAACATTACGGGTATTTTTATGAATAAATTAAAAAAAAATGTAGAATCATTAAAAAATGATCCATGTAACACAATTTATATTTGTCAAATACTGTAATTGAATAGGTCTCATTTACTTGAAAGGCATAATTTTCAGATAGTAACTCATTGGTTTTGAGCTTGTAATATATTTGGACGTGAAGAATGGCGTTGACAATGATATAGCATAATTTAATACACCAACCATCATCATATCATCTTTAGATATTCCAGCGTCGATTAATTTCAAATTCGAGACAGTATTCTCCATTGAAATATATCCAATCTACGAGTATATTAACACAGTAATAACATAATATTAATTTACAACATAAAATGATTTATTATTGGAATGAAATAAAAATTTACTTAAACACTTTGGGACCGAAATTAAAATTTATATATTTATATATTTTAACTGCAGGTAGATATGAGTCAGTCGATTAGTTTAAAGATTTATTTTGTTTTTTGCCTGCATAGTCATATTTACCCTCATTGTGATCAATGCCACAGCCAATATTCTAACCCGAGATAGCTTTAAAATTTTCCATAATAGTTTATAATTTTGAACTACGTTTAGTTTCACATAGTTCTCTTCCAATTTGACATTCTTTTCTTTTTTGAATACTCCGATCAGTAATGTAATGATTAGTATGAAGATGCCCCACGTATAGATAAAAGCTGTAAAAATACAAAACGGCATATACATTTAATTAAATATATAGATGCATAAAAAAAATAAAAAATATAGTCTAAATTTTAAAATATATTGTTAAATTTTGTTAAACGTCTACAAATAAAACTATTTTATTGCTTGGAAAAAATGTTATATAACATTGGTTTAATCAGAATTCCTTAATTACTTTTATACCCACAGTTTATATGCGGTACAATTTTGTCCCAGGCCACAGACTATGAAATTTAAAGAGGGGCCCCTTAAAGTCCAGTTTATTTAAAAATGCTCAGTATTTTTCATTAGAGAGATTAATGATATTAGTATATTATTTCTAAACTATTTTTTGAATTAAATAAAATTAACTTAAATTTATATTTAAGTGCTATTATACAGACTATATTTTCAGTTATTCTAATTTCTAAATAGTCAAATATATGAATAAATGTTATTTTAAATTAAATGCAGAAACCGGTAATTCATTGTAACGATGCATTTATATGACGATGATTGGTTGAGATTTGGAAAACTATATTTACCAACAGTTTGCAAACCTGTTGCGCATTATTTTTGGTTTTTCTCGTATATTATTGTGATGTGATTGAGTGGCCCCTGTATTAATTTGCCACAGACCCTAAGAATTCTTAGGACGGTACTGACTCCCCATTCCCATGGATATAAGTGCATTGTTAGTTTGTGAACGTTCATAAATTTTCATGTATGTCAAGCAAATAAGTTTATTTTGGTTTCTGTACTTTTTATAGTAATTAGCCCTCCAGCGCCGGGCGTTATTTGAAAATATTTATTGCTGAAGTCTTCCGACACTAGTAGAACGAAACAAATAGAAGACACAAACATGCCAGTGATGATACCTATTATATTGCACGTCGAACAGTAACTCACGTTCTTTCTGTTGAAACAAAAATATAAATATATAACCGAGAATTTTCGTAGCATTATTCATTTGTTTCAGTAAGTAAACATGAACATTTAAATAACAGTCAGTTTCTACAAAATATGCATATTGGATATGCAAAACATTATTACAGCCTTAGGATTACGTTTTTGATGGGAGTTGGAATCCATTAAGTTATGTAACATCCTATGGAGGGGATAATTTCAACGTTTATCGGAAATGGAATTAGTGGTTTCTGGTACTGGATAAGGTGGAAACTATGTAATCATTGAAAGGTCAAATTAGCGGTATTATGTTTTGTCGATAAAATATGTTTATAACGATCCTTACTTTTTCAACATCGTCAATGCCCAACCATCAACAACGATATCTTGAGTTGCCGACAAAATGTTAATAATGAAAATTATTGTTGTTAGCATTTTGAGGTTTGGTTTTCCTGTTTCAGGTAGCCAATCATCGATGTTTTTGGCCATGAAGATCATCATGGATCCTGTGAAAATGTAAAGAATTTTTAATTTATGTAATGTGGTCATATAAATTTTTATTTTTATTTTTTTAATGCGATCCCTACAAATAATAAACAATAGAATATGAATAGTTTTTAAACGTATAGGTACTTAAATAAATAAAATAAATGTAAAAAAAATAAATAATATGAAAATGTATGTAATCAATTTTATTGTTTTAATTGGAAACTTATGCTTCTTTTTTTGAAACTATAGTTTCTATATTGGGTTTTATATTAGAAACTGCTAGTTTTAAATCTAGTTTTTTAATCAAACTGATTATTAAGTATTGAAATACACGCATTGTTGCAACCATGAGCGGCTCCAGAGCCTTGGTTAGGGGGGGGGGGGGAATAATAATTTACAAAATCTTATAACAAAAAAAAAATAACAATTTTTACAACACAATATCAAGACTTCTATTTTGAAAATTGGCAAAAATATCAATAATAGATCTATTCGATCTAGAATATCTACTTTATGATATACATCAATTAGACATAATGCTGATAGTTTATCTTCAGTCATGCTTGAACAAAGCCAGAATTTTAGTCTCCGAAGTGTGGAGAAATTCCTTTCAACCGTCATACCTCTATTGCTTTATCTACATACTTGTGTGTGTCGTATGAGATAGTCCATATTATAATATAAATTTTTTTATAAATACGGTACGGGCTTGAGGGACCTTGGCTCATAGCCCCTCCCCTGGAGCCACCCCTGGCTGAAATTACACTAACTTGGGCCCGTGTGTAAATTAAATAAATGCCCCCTCCCCCGAATTCGGACTCTGTAGAGAAACCGTACCTTTAATCAATTGTAACCAAACTATTTTGAATGTCGATTATACAGGTCGTAAAAGAAACGTTGACGTACGATAATGTGTGCAAAACAAAATCAATCATTATTCAATTTCCATTAATAATTATTATTACAAAGTAGTTTTATTTTCTTGCTTTCTACTTATTTTTCAAATATTATCATTGGGCCCTATTATAGCCTGGGGCCATAGGCCCGTGTGTTAGACACATGCAACACACCCGATTATTGCGGCACTGAATACACATATACAGTACGAGTGTAAAAATAATCAAAAATCCAACTAAGATCGATAACTATAATTGCTTATAGTTAATGATTTGTTATCAGATAACATTACGTTACATGCTATTTTATTCATTAAGTTATGTTACATTCGTAATTATTAGATTGATTTTTAAACTAATACATTTTGATATGAATAACCATTTTGTTCATTATTTTTGGGAATCTCGAACTATCTTTGTCGGTCCTCAGGTTGAAAACCACTGATGTAGACATGGCATTCAATACATAATTAGCTTGGATCAGATAATTTATTATTACAGCAAATTATGTTAATTAATTGGAAAGTCCGTCACTAAAACTTTTAATCTAGAGCAAATATTGGAGTGGATTTTTTTTAATTGTAATATTTGATTGATGGTCTATATTTAAATACAGTAGCGCAATCAGGAATTTTTCATGGGGGGGGGTTTGACAAAATAAACTAATATACAAATAATAAAAAATTATAATATATATATATATATATATAGAATGTGATATTAATATACTATTATACGTACCAAGGGGGGGGGGTCCAGACCTGGAGTCCACCCCTCTGGTTGCGCCACTGTTTAAATATTTCATATTGATTTAACAAAGAAAGAAAAAAAGGAAAAACGTTAATATTTTTTTTATATTTATCAAAAGTTAATTTTATTTAAATTACAAAATATTCAAGCCATTTTATAAATTTACATACCTATTGATGATATTTTAGAAATATCCACTTATCGGTTCTGTAAAAATAAAATAGTTTTTTAAAATTGATAATGACTAATAAAGCGTTATCAACTCGATAAAGTATATGTCCGATTTCGGATCTGTCATATTTGCAGAACCATTTAAGATTCCTTATCATTTAATTTAAAATGTATTATCACTTGAAATTATTGTTATTTATTCAATTTTGAATAATTATTAATTTTATTTTATTTCATATTATTGTTTCAAGACATTTTAAATTTAATACCAGATAATTGGTTGTAACCTGATTATTTGATACAATTTACAATACTTTCATGAAACGCAATCTGTTCTTTAACTTCTATTATTTTACAATCGATATATTATCAGCCCAACATTTTATTGAACTGTTTTCATGCAACCGGGCATTAGTCTTGTATTACTCTATTAAAGTACCCATTTAGAGAATCCTGTAACACTGTCATTTTTTTTTTCGAATTTTTAGCTTATTTACTTGAGATATGCCATTTAGTTTTATATAAGTATGGATTTGAAATTCGGTAAGAACTTTACTAAAAATATGAAGATTCGGTTGACTTTAATAAAATTAATTTCTTAGATGACTATACAGTGTGTTTCTTTTTAAAGGAAACACTAAATAATTCTGTCCAGTGATATCAGATTGATATGCGGTTTTCGGGAAGAGATAGGGAATACATAAATACACATTTCTTGATGATTTTTACATTTTTGGATTTTTCAGTGTGTGCATGCGCAATACAACTTGCATTTTTTTAAATGGCAGCAGGTGTTTTGAATGCCAAATTTGGATAGACCGAATTTTTTAAGTTAATTTGGTTCTTTTTACCATAGCTCTAAAATCAAATTTGACTAAATGACAACGAATTAAAGTTACTATTAAAATTATTGAATTTTTCAACCATCATACTAGAATTTTATGAATTATTATGAAATTTGAAATCTTCTATTATTAAATTTTCAATTTAAATTATTATTTTTATCATTTATTGTTATTTTTCGTGATACATGTGGGTAGTTACTTGTAATCTCTATGATTATTTTATTTGTAGCCTTTACTAAAATAAACCACATTTATTTATCGTGTGCTAAGAATGATATTATCTTAAAGTTCGTATAAATTTGACAATAATAATTTATTATAACTGATTAATTATAGCATTTGTTTAAATGTAGTTGTTAAAAGTAATTACAAGTTTTAAATTCGTATGTAATGCACGTAGGTATTTCATTAAAATTTAAAAATGCCAAGTAACAACGAAAAAGTGTATATGCTTTTAGTTTATGGTGAATGTCAGCGTAATTCACGAAATGCCGTTAGACTTTATGCAGATCAATATCCTGAACGATATCACCCTCCACACAATTACTTTGTCCGAATTGAATTGTCTTTGAGAAATAGTGTGAGCTACCTGCAAGACAAGGTAATAATCGACGAAATCAAAGACAAGTGATTGGAGAGGCAAACATACAGGAAGAATTGCAGGTATTAGCATATGTTCAATTAAACCCTCGATCTTCGATTAGGCATTTAAGCAACGAAATTGGAATATTTATTAAAAAAGTTTAGACAATTTTGAAAAAAAAATAAACTACACCCGTATAGGCTTGATTTAGTACAAAAGATGGTATCAGGTGATTCTAATAGTAGACTTACACTTATTGCATGGTTTATGGTGCAATTACACGATGATCCCGATTTTTTACGATTTATCTGTTGGACCGACAAATCTACGTTTATTAACAACGGTATAATTAATAAAAAAAATAACCAGTATTGGGCTGATCACAATCCATATTGGACGACTGATACAAATCACCAAACAGTTTGGGGAAGTAACGTTTGGTGTGGGCTACTCGATGGGAGACTTCTCGGCTCGTATTTTTACGATGGTATACTTACTGAGAGAAGATACTTGGAGTTTTTAACCGATGTTTTACCTACATACATGGACGATATTCCATTAGAGATTAGAAATAATGTATTTTTTCAACAAGATGGAGCACCTGCACATAATGCAATTGTTGTAAGAGAGTATTTACAAAATAAATTTGGCAATCGATGGATGGGTATATACAGAGCAGCTTGGCCACCAAGATCTCCAGATCTCACGCCATTAGATTTTTTTTTTGTGGCGACATTTGAAGAATGTAGTGTATTCAACTCCACCTTTAAATGTTCAATATCTTAGAAATAAAATCGTAAATGTTTGTGCAGAACTTACAAAGGAACAGATATTAGCAGCTACTCAAAGAGAAGTGATTCGTCGACTTCAATCATGCATGGAGAATGATGGAATAAATTTTGAACAATTTATTAGATAGTTATTAGACATTTTTTACCTAAATAAATAATAGAAATTTTTAAAATTATAAAAATTGTGTTAATTAGTTTAATCTTTTCTCTGTAAATTAAATATTTACGTCTAATTGATGTTAATTAATTCCTCAAAATTAAATTAAAATTATTTAATAATGTCTGCAAACCTATGGATACAAAAAAAAAAAATAAATACTTGAAATTTCATAATAATTCATAAAATTCTAGTATGATGGTTGGAAAATTCAATAATTTTAATCGTAACTTTCATTCGTTGTCATTTAGTCAATTTTGATTTTAGAGCTATGGTAAAAAGGACCAAATTAACTTAAAAAATTCGGTCTATCCAAATTTGGCATTCAAAACATCTGCTGTCATTTAAAAAAATGCAAGTTGTATTGCGCATGCACACACTGAAAAATCCAAAAACGTAAAAATCATCAAGAAATGTGTATTTATGTATTTTCTATGTCTTCCCGAAAACTGCATATCAATCTGATTTCACTGGACAGAATTATTTAGTGTTACCTTTAAAAAGAAACACATTGTATATAAAGTATAAAAACTGGCCGAGTTTACATTAGATCTTTTATTACCCTTTTATTTTAACCGATATTCTGGCGGAGTTTACAATCGCCCCCAATAATACATCGGTAATTTACGTAAATAGTAAATAATAAGTATCTAATAATAATTAAATATAATTAAAAATAAGTAGTAAATAGAGCAACTTTAAGTAAGCAACTGAAAAAATATACCTAATTATTTACTTACCCATAAATGATTGCAAAAGCAATAGCCAACATTTCCGTCTACCTATCCATTGGATGTAGCTCGCATCCACAATTGGAGCCCATAATATTTTCATCCACTGCGGCCATAATGCAATACTTAGTGCAGCCTGAAATATAAATGAATTCTCATAAACAATTGTTGAAACCGAAATTTTTTCACGCCTGCAATACGCTATATGGCGGTGGTTTCTATTAATCTTAAACAATGAAAATATATTCCTGGAAGATGTATGTCTGTGTGCATGTTGCATAACATTGAATTGGGTTAATTTTTTCAAGTTATAATTTTACACACCGAAGTAAAGAAAGCTGGTCGTAATAGTAACATGTCCTTATAATGTCTGAGACTATTAGAAAAGCCTGATATTTCTTGTAATTTACCATTAAAAATAAAATATGCACCTACGGTACGTCGATGTAACCGGTTTGTTAGTGTAAATATAATTCATATAATTATATAATTCGTGTCTATACTAAATGTATTTAAAAACACGTGGTCAAGACGAATTATGAATATCTCAATTATTATTTCCATCGTATAATATAAAGAAGTAAAATATAAAGAAGTAAAATATAAAGAAGTAATATAAATTAAATAAGTAATATCAACTTACTTGATCTTCATAGTTCACTAGTTTTTTACTTTGTAAAATTATTGAGAAACCAATAGCAAAGCCTTTTGGGAAACCTTGTATTATATATAGTAACATCAATAAAAAGAAATTCATCCAATCTCCACTTAAATTTGGTTTTTCTGTTGCAAATTCAAGCGATATTGTAAATTCTTCTGAACCGTTCTTATTTTTCACTGATTTTGTCATCGTTTGTAATTTTATATTATTTTTGATTTTAAATTTATGTAGTTCTTATAGCTCAAGGGTTTAATTTGATAATTTTTTAATATTTTTACAAATTTGCAAATCCTAGTTTTACTACTGCGAATACAATTGACTTAACGTTGCGTTGGATTTGTGTTGATACTAGTAGACCAAAAACGTAAAAGTGTACAGTTAATTCTTAAACATTTATGTGAGTATAATAAATAAATAATATTATAAGACATTCATAAAGTATTGTCAGTTGTCACTCACCGTTATTAAAACATCCACGTGAGTATCCGTTGATTGAAAACTTGTCTTGATAATTACAGTGAATTAAAAAACGAATAAAATAACATTTTCGTTAAAATAATTTTTCCAAATTCTTGATGTGGAAGATTAATTAATAATAGTATATTATTATTATTATTTTCAAGAAAGTCACTATTCACACTCAATATTATAATCGTTATATTTAATAGTTAATTTTAAAATTATTTTCACGTGTATATCACGATTGGTGGTTACGTAATGATTGATAACGATATATCTTGAAGTGCCGACCTGGAGTGAATACCTTACTGTTGAAACCGGTTACTAAATTACAAAAAAATTAAATCTCAAACTCTTTCTGAACAGGTTTCAGTTATATTTTTTTTAGTCTAAGACTTATTAGTAGCTCTAGGAGCTCTTCACACGACGTTTTTGTTCTTTAGTATTTTATTTTATTAAAAGTTCTAACATTATTCATACAAAACAAATATTACCTACAAAAATTAAAAATAGAAATTCTTACAAAAATTAACATCATATTAATAATATTAACTGGGTATTCGAATCGGTGCATTGTATATAATAACTATACGTAGTTGTACTAATAATTAAAATATCAAGCCTTAATATGAATATATTATTGATAAATTAAGGTCATAAATATTATAATCAGTATTATACTAGCAATCCTGAAGTGAGCAAGTTTCAATGTAAGCGTTAAATTTTATGCACTGGCAAGTTTTAAAGCAAAATTTTTTAAATCATACTCGTAAAAAATTGGAATATTTTTATAATTAATATTTAACGTCCACAATTTAAACATAAATAAAATTTATTAGCTTAAAAAATTTTTTTTTTTGTTATTTTATAAATAATATTTTATTAAATATCCTTAAATTTGGTGTTATATATTTAATTATTTTATGTTGTTTTTTAACGGATAAAGTTTTGATGACAAGTGTGTAGGTACTCTGTAATTTTTAATAAAACATAAGCCACTAATTGTTTCATCGGTCAAAGCATTTCTTTTCTGCAATTTAATTAAATTCGTTATGGAGAATGAAATTTCATAAGCATAAGTAGACGAAAAAAATGAAAGTATGAGGAATATAATCACTTTTGAATTGAATATAATCTGTTTATTTGAATTTTATAAATAGCATAATTTTTTTTTGTACAACATTTTTTTTCAAAAAAGAAAAAAACTTAACTCAAGATTACATTTACTACGTCCTCTCTTACGATCAAAACTAAACTTGAAACTCAAGATCCTTATTTACAAAATGTTAATCTTTCCCCTTTGGTATTATGATATACAAATTTGGGGTAATGCCGTTCCAAGTAGTATACAAAAAATTCAGTCATTCCAATTCATCTGCCTTCGCACTATCACAAAATCCCCCTGGTTTGTTAGTAACCTACACTCAGACCTGAAAATAAACTACGTAAACCAAGTCACGAAAATCGCTTACCAAAAACTTCACAAAAAATTTAGCTCCCATATTAACCCAAACATTAGCTTTCTTGCTACATAACACATTCCGGACAACCCCCCACGTAGACTCAAATGTAAATGGTTTAGAGACCTCCTCCATTAATTCAAGTAGGTAGCTCCATTGGGAGCCCTCCTACATCGTGCTATTTTTCATGTTATGTAAACCTCCGCATCACTTATACTTGTTGTGCTTAATTGTATAGTTGTATATTTCATATTTTAATAAAAAAAAACTATATTTATCACTTATTTTAAAGAGCTTGATTTCAAATTAATTATAATAAAATATTAAAAAAATAAATATTAAATCAAGAAAAAAAAATACTTGAAAAAAAGTAAATATTTCGATAAAATAGCGATTTTACCATAAAAAAACATAAAAAATAATGCTTTAAGTTCCGTTGATTTATACATAGGAACTTCAAACTCCATATTAAAGTTCTTTAGGATATTATTTAATACATTATAAAAAAAAAAAATATGAAAAAATTAATATTTCAAACATGGGGTTTTTGACGTTTAAATGTATGTTCCAGACCACTATGTACCGCCGCCGCCGACCAACTAGAGCATGTTTAATTGCCTACACCAACAATTTGACAGCGTTACGTTGAATTGCCTACATCGAACTTCTACGGCGTGCAAGGTTGATTGCCGACCCCAAAACAATTCAAGGCAAACTTATTATTATTATACATTATTTGTTCTTAACTGGTCCCTCGGTATTAATTTCTCTCCCCCTTAACTACCTTATTCATAAACTCATATAACGGAATCGTCTTCGGGTGAAGGTGGCAACCGGCCGCTTGGCCCCAAGAATCAACAGGAAAAATTAATTCCTAATTCTACGATTTTTCACAATTTTACGATTTTCCACAATTTTCCATTTTTTCTAAAATTTTTCAATTTTTTTGATAATATTTAACAGTTTTCATAATTTTACGATTTTTCATAACTATCCATTTGATAAATTCCAAATATTTCCACAATTTAACAATTTTTCACTATCCTACATTTATTCATAAATTTTACAATTTTTACATTTTCTCACAATTTTCCATTTTTTCTTGAATTTAACAATTTTTTGAATTCAATTTTTAATAAATTTTCAATATTGTTTGTATAACCAGTTGCCACATTTAATAAAAACGTAATTTTTTCCTAGTTAAATTATAAACCATCATAGAAAATGAGAAATTCTGTGTGTCACGTCTATACGTGCGATAGCAAGAGACCACCCTTTTTCATCAAACTCAATATTTTCAAATCGTTATATCAAGACGTTATTGAATTATGAAAAATTGTGAAATTCATGAAATTGTGAAAAAATATTGAATTCTTGAAAAATTGTGAAAAAAAGTTGAATTGATGAAAAATTGTTGAAATTGATGAAATTCTGAAAAAATGTTGAATTGATGAAAAATTGTGTAAAAATGATAAATGGATGAAAAAATGTTGAATTCATGAAAAATTGTGAAAAAATGTTGAAATGATGAAAAATTCTGAAAAAATGTTGAATTC